AAAAACGTAAAGAGGCGGCAGTCTTACACAGCTGGGGTCATCAGAAAGAAAAGAAAAGAGAAATAGAAGGGAACCGCGAAGCAGATATTGAAGCCAAAAGAGCCACAAGGCGGGACCCTCCATTAGAAATGCTTACAGGAGGACCCCTTGTATGGGGTAAACCCTTCAAGGAGACCAAGCCCCCGTATTCAACAGAAGAAATAGAATCGGGAACCAAAAGAGGACACCGCTTCCTCCCCTCAGGATGGCTAGCCACTGAAGAAGGAAAAATACCTTTGCCTGCAGCTAACCAATGGAAATTACTTAAAACCTTTCACCAGACCTTTCACTTAGGCATTGATAGCACCCATCAGATGGCCAAATCATTATTTACTGGACCAGGCCTTTTCAAAACTATCAAGCAGATAGTCAGGGCCTGTGAAGTGTGCCAAAGAAATAATCCCCTGCACTTCAGGTCTACATTTCAATCCCTGTATCGTTAACCTCCTTGTTACGTTTGTCTCTTCCAGAATCAAAGCTGTAAAACTACAAATTGTTCTTCAAATGGAACCCCAGATGCAGTCCATGACTAAGATCTACTGTAGACCCCTGGACCGGCCTGCTAGCCCATGCTCCAATGTTGATGACATTGAAGGCACCCCTCCCGAGGAAATCTCAAATGCACAACCCCTACTATGCCCCAATTCAGCAGGAAGCAGTTAAGAGCAGTCGTTGGCCAACATCCCCAACACCACTTGGTTTTTCCTGTCGAGAGGGGGAACTGAGAGACAAGACTAGCTAGATTTCCTAGACCAACTAAGAATTCCTAAGCCTAGTTGGGAAGGTGACCACATCCACCTTTAAACATGGGGCTTGTAACTCAGCTCACACCCAACCAATCAGGTAGTAAAGAGGCTCACTAAAATACAATTAGGCTAAAGCAGGAGGTAAAGAAATAGTCAAATCACATATCGCTTGAGAGCACAGCGGGAGGGACAATGATCGGGATACAAACTCAGGCATTTGAACACGGAGCGGCAACCCCCTTTGGGTCCCCTCCCGTTGTATGGGAGCTCTGTTTTCACTCTATTAATCTTGCAACTGAAAGAAAAAAAAAAAGGCAAGAGGGAGAATTCATTCTCTCTTGAGCTAGGACAAGCATCTTTTCCTGCCCTTGGATACTAAAGATCCTGATCCTCAGGCCTTCAAACTCCAGGACTTACACCAGTGGCCTCCCATACCCCAGTTCTCAGTCCTTTGGCCTCAGACTAAGAGTTACACGATCACTTCCCCTGGTTCTCAGGCCTTCAGACTCAGGCTGAGTTACACCACCAGCTTCCCTGGTTCTCCATCTTACGGACAGCGTATCATGGGACTTCTCAGCTCCCATAATTACATTAGCCAATTCCCATAGTAAATCCCCTCTTGTCTATCTATATATATTTTATTGGTTCTATTTCTCCAGAAAACTCTAACTTATCAAACCAGTAAATGCACTTCTAAAACTCCATCCTACAGAAATGCTCAACCATGTGCACAAAGATATATACAAAAGGATGTTCACTGAATCACTAGTTATAACAGCAAAACTTTAGGAAACCAACAAAATGTCTATCAATAGGAGAATGGTTACATAAATTACACTACATTTCTACCATGAAATACTACACAAAAGTGTTTTCACTCAGAGAGCAGAAGAGTGACTTGGACTGTTGTATTTTAAAATGATCCCTCTAATATATTGGGGATGGCCTGTCATGGGATGGAGAAGGAGCAACAGCAAGTCGAGAAGATCTGTTAAGATGCTACTATAGCAACCCAGACAAGAGATGTGGCTCTGACAAATGTACTAATGGTAGTGAGAAGTGATCTGACTGGCCCCTGCTTTTGCTAGGATGTCTCTCCCTAACATACACATACACAAATTTGCTGACTGACTAGATGAAAAATATGAGAAAAAGAAAGAAATGAATGGTGGCCCAGTTTCTGGCCTGAGCTGAAACAATGGAATATTTCTATCTAACAGATGAAAAAACTAAACCACCTAGAGTTTAAAAATCCTGTCCAAAGTCACACCAATAAAATGGTAGAATCACTAGAATCCAGGTCCATCTGACCACAACTCTTAATCACTATGCTACAATGATTTGTCTAAGGAACTTCAGCATCTGTTACTGTGCCCAGTATTAATGCATATTTTCTTACTTAACATGAACTAACAAAAAATACTATAAGCTAGGTCATTTATTAGGCAAATAAAAGTATTTGTTAGCTATATGCTTAATAATTATAAGATTTTAAGGGACTTTTAGTCAGCAAATGATTTATTATTGAATGACATTAATTGTCAGTGAAGATCATTACTGCCCTCCAGGATGACAAGCTTCATAAAATTTCAATACCCATTACACCCAACCTCCAATACAGGAAAGAAGACAAGCAAATTTGTTATCTGTGCTAATATGTTAAATAGAAAACTAAAATGAGATACATAAGAAATACAAAAATATGTATGCATATTAAACATCTATGTAATCTACACCACACTTGAATGCTCTTCTCCAATCTGAGTCAGAAGACCACGTATTGTACTCAGAATGGATTCCAAATCTAAATTGAATAGACAGTGAAGCAAAACTCTTCTAACCAGTTTACGTATTTCCATTCTATTTGTGTAGGCCTACATACCTTCTCATTTTGGTGCACTAATTATCTTTTAGGAATCTGTGACAGTGCATTAATATTAGATAAACCTCAGGGAGGTAGGAAAATTATATAACAAAAGACAGCAGGTGTGGTGCATCACACCTGTAATCCCAGCACTTTGGGAAGCTGAGGCAGGAGGATCACTTGAGCCAAGAGTTTGAGACCAGCCTGGGCAACAAAGTGAGACAGTTAGCCAGGCATTGGTGGTGTGCACCTGTAGTCTCAGCTACTTGGGAGGCCGAGGCAGGAGAACTGCTTGAACTTGGGAGGTGGAGGTGGCAGTGAGCTGAGATCGCACCACTGCACTCCCACCTGGGCGACAGAGCAAGACTCCATCTCAGAAAAAAAGGAAATACAGTCGGCCTCTGTATCCATGGGTTTTGCACCTGCAGATTCGACCAACTGGGATGGAAGATAATAGCATCTGTGGGATGTGGAACCCCCAGATGCAAACGGCTGACTTTTTGTATCTGCGTATAAGACATTTTTCTATCTTCAGGACAGACTGCAGAACTTGAGGAGCATCCATGAATTTTGGTGTCCGTGGACATTTTGGAATCAAATCCCTGTGGATACAGAGGGACAACTGTAGAGATGAATTTAACAGCCTTTAGCCAAAAGCATGCCCAACTTTACTCAGCAGATAAAGGAAAAAAATCTGTAACATAAACTATGCTATTCCGATATGAAGAAGAGACGTAACAGTATATTGGAAATGAGCTTTTTGCCTAGAAAAGGATATTCAAACTCACGTCTTTGTTACTACAAATAGTCTGGGAACTCAAGCTTTATAGTTAACTTCAAACAGATTCTGAAAACATATCTTAAGCATTTGAAATTAGAGGAATAATATCTATTTTTCCAGTATCTTCAAAAACTTAACTATAATAGACACTAGACACTTGAACATGTGATTTTAAAAACAATCATGACAAATTTCCTGCAGTACGATTTAGGGAGTTTAGCCTTACCATCTCTTACCTGTTAAGACAAAAAAAAAAAAAAAAAACACCTACCACTACTAAAAACAATGTAAAGATTATTTCCTTTCCTGTCCAGGAGGTAACAAATTAGTAGTTCTGATGAGCTATGGACCCAGAAGTCTGTATTTTAAGCACCTATACCTGGTGATGATAAGTATGAAGGGAAGAGGGTCTGAATTTCCATGATCAATGAAATGTAAACGGTTCTCTGAGTGTTACAATGCAGAGTATTATAGTCAACCTCAGTTTAACTGAATGCTATAAATTCATTCAATTAAATGTTAGAAGCATGGTATGAGAGAAAAAAAGGGCTTTAGAGTCAGAGAAATGGGTTCAAATCAAATACCCTAGTTTATTATGTAACCTTTTACAAGTCAACTTCTCTGAGCCTTGGTCTTTTCACCAATGAGGAGAATACTGCCTCTAACACCACTTTTATAAATATTAAAGAAGACAAACTTGAGCATGTGGCACAATGACTATTACAAAGCAATGCTCAATCCACCATCTGTTTTCTTCCTACCCCCTCTCTACTAAATGTCAGAATCTCGCCTTTAGTCAGTCCTCTTCACTCAGTAGCGTGCTGGTTAACGTTTAACAACTAGCTGTCCAGGAAGAAGAAAACCCAGTTTATAGCACTGGTTTGTAGCACTGGCTTATTTCTGTGCTGTAAATACTCCTACCATGATAGACCGCAAGCATGAAGTCACTGAATGCAGAGATGTAAAGAGATGTGCAGTAGCACACCATTATTCTCTATTCCATTTGTTTTATTATCTCTACTATGTTTTCTTTTCTTCATGACACTTTTACCTTTTTAAATTATCTTGTTTGTTTAGATATTTGTCATCTGTTTTCCTTGATAAGGAAAAGCATCAGGAAGGCAGGCATCTTGTCTCATGCTAAGTAGTTGTAAAGATTCCCAAAAGTATTAAAAAGTGTTTAAAAAGAAAAAGACTAATTCAATCAAAACACATCCTCAATTTCAGTATGATTGCTCTTTCTGTTTGGTAAAGGAAGAAAGAATAAACATGACCAGTAACTACCAAATGCTTAACTTCAAACAGCAGACTACTTCTCCCATGTCACCTAGCTCGGTCAATAAAAAGAGGCCAGACAGAGGCACCTGCATATAAAATGTCCAACTAGAATATCATACGAATTGAATCCAAGGCAAGTAATCTTACTATCCTTAAATAAATTCAGGCAGTTATTTTATGACTATAGAAAGGGAAACAAATACTGCTGTTAATAAGTTATGTATTATAATTGTTTTTATGTTTTATTAACCCAGCTTGTAAGCGAAGCCTCCATACCTTAAATTTACTTTACCTGCATTAATTAACATCTGCAAACATTCTACAGAGTTGTGATAAGCTGCTTCATGAATTGGCATCCATCCCCTGTTATCAGCAACATCGACACTTCGGCCCTTTTTGAGCAGTTTCCTTAAGACTTTAACATTGCCTTCCCTGGCAGCAAGTCCAACCGTAGAGCACGTGTCCGCATAAGCCTCTGTAAAATCCATTTGTTTGACCAGTCTACAAAACAAGGTAGAAGGATAATACTATAGTCAATAAAACAACACTTCACTCCTAGAGGTTAGCAGATCACGGTGGGCCTGTCTAGTATCTCTCACATGACTGCCAAAGAAGGGCCCACAATACAGAAAGTGACTACCACGCCACAGTCTCTGCTAGTGCCTAAACCAGGAAGTTTCTGCGTTTGGCAGATTAGAATTCCTTGGAATGTTCCTACTAAAAACATGAAGGGACTTTTAAGTGTTCTATCTTTCCTCCTCTGGAAATGTTTGAGCAGCAGGCTTCTGCTCCTGTTCATACCCCACCACAATGTACTCTTTGGTGCTCCATTGATGAGAGCACCTCTACTTAATCCCCAGTGTACACTACATTATGCAGAGATGACCATTCCACTACCAGCAATGCTCAGTCTCAATATATAGCCCTCTATAGGAAACAACTAAACCCAAAAAGTCCAGAAAAGCAGTGAAAGATAGGTGTCATTCTAGTCTTCCTGCACCTGCTGGTCCTTTCCAGAAGAGGTTAAACACTCAGGTTCTCTATGCTTGACCAAATAGTTGTACTGGCTGAGCATATTGAAACCAACACAGAACACCATAAAGAGACGAGCCCCACTTTCCTACATAGCCCAGAAAGTTCTTAACAGAGTTCTTGCCCGCATCATCATCTCCCTCCAATGCTCACTTCAAGTTCCCCTCCAGTCAGAGTCCAGTATAGCTCTCATGTGACTCTCTCGAAGACACAATTTCTTGTTAGTGACTCTGTGAAGCAGTTTGGATATGGAATACATATTTGATTACATAACTATTGTTAATTTTCTTAGATGTGATAATGGCATTACAGTTATGAGGAGAATGTCCTTATTCTTTTTTTTTAGGGAACTTGTTCTAGGATGAATGTCCTTATTCTTATAAGATACATGTAGAGCATGTGGCAGTAAAACGTTGTAACACATGCAACTTACTTCAAATGTTTTCCATTTAAAAGTATAGAGTAAAAAGGAAGTAAAGCAACTGTGAAAAATGGTAATTATCGGATCTAGATGAAACGTATTGGTCATTACACTCTTTTTATCTAAGTTTTCTGTATATTCGAAATTTTTCAGAAAAGAAGGGTTAGCAAACATGTCAGGCAATTTGAAACTACAACTTAGAGAAAATAGGAAAAGACTTGTTTTTTGTTTGTTTGTTTGGTAGCTTCCTGCTGATTTCTTTATAAGAAAAGAAATAATACCCCTTGAATCTGAGTGTTTTAGCATTCAAAACCACAGTATAAAAATCTTCAAGAAAGAACAATCACTTGGTAAGGCTTCTGTTTTCACACACAGACACAGCCATGATAGTCCAAGCGAGTCTCCTAAACAATATTTTGCAGCAAGAGCTCTAACGAGCAGATCTTCAAAAAATTTTAGGATCCCTGACGTCTTGGAGAAACTCATGAAAGCTGTAGTTTCCCCTCAGAAAAGTGTACACCCCAAATTTTGTACACAAATTCGGCAGGTTCCCCAGCTCGTTTCCAAAGCCTTTACAGGGGCCCCAAGTTAAGAACATTTGCCTGCTCTTTTGTGAACAAGTCACTGATAATACTAAAGATGAATAAATTTGTGTAAAATTTAAATATATAAACAATTCCCATTGAAATGACACATACTCTTTCACAGGCGTAAACGTCTATTGTAAACATCCCGCTTTTATTTGAAAGGCAAAAGACATTCTTTTGAGGACATAAAATCAAATATGGATTACATTCCTCCTGCTGCTGTTATATAGGCAAAAATCTAATTTCCAAAGCAGAGCAAAACATGTTTCTAGGTGCTGCCTGCGGTGCTGGAACACCGCCTCCATATCTCGACACCACGAGCGACGACTCCTGCCCTTTTCTCCTTCCTCGCCCGGGTTAGAAATAAGTCCAGTTCCAATTTCAGAGCCAAATAGCTCCAAAAAGCATTGTGGGTGTTGTAGTTTTCTGCACACGCGCACTAAAGGTAGGTTAGGGTGATTTACAGAGGCTGCAAAAGAATCCGTTGCTTACTACACCGAAAGTTAATGCCTCTTGACTCCCTAATCAAGGAAATAAAATAAAGCTGACTGAGACTCACTCGGAAAACCTTTCTGGATCCAAACTCCCAGTGCGCTTTGCGCCCCAAGTGGCCATCGCGCCTGCGCCCCGCGCAGCCGGTTACTCGCTTACCGGAGGCTGCAGTCTCCCGCGGCGCGGCGACAACTAGGGTTCACCGTCGCCGTGGCAGAGGAGCCGCGAAAAGATGTGGGTTTTTGGTTACGGGTCCCTGATCTGGAAGGTGGATTTCCCCTATCAGGACAAGCTGGTCGGATACATCACAAACTACAGCAGGCGCTTCTGGCAGGGCAGCACGGACCACCGCGGGGTCCCCGGCAAGGTGAGGCGCCGGCCAGCTCCCCACACTTACTGCCCCCGGACCCCCGCTCCCCAACTCCACACACAGCACTCACACCCTAGGGAACCACACCTTAGCGCTTCATGGGGGCCAAGCACATGGCTTGGGGCAACACTTATTTCTGTAGATTTTCCCTGCCACCTGCCCGCCATCTCTAACCCAGCCCGGGCACTCCTTCCGAAGCTGCTTAAGATGCCGGTGGTTAGTTTCTAGAGGCGGCGAGAAGCGCGGGCACGGGCACACGAGCTCGCGCCAGGCTGAGTGCGGAGAGAGGGAAAAAAAAATCCCACTGGCGGGAAGATGAATTTTCATGTCACTACATAGTTGAAATAGTAAAATCAAGTTGCAAATTCAGCTTTTTAGCAGTTAAACTTGTTGGCATTTCTGCGTTCTAGCCGACTTTCATGGGTTTGCGATTAAACGTGCATGTTACTTCTAGGATTTCTTTACATCTTTCAAGTGTTTTATTTTCTGACACCTAGGATTACAGAACGAGTTTCCGAAATTTTCTCTAGTTATCGAGGAACTCACTTTGGTTTTCAGGTACTAGCGAAGTTAAATGAAGTTCTGGTTATATGAGTAACACAGTACCAAGCTCATTATTATATCCAGCATTATTTTAATGTTACTTTCTTGATGGTTCTCATAATTATAATGTGAAATGTAAGTTATTTGATCCACTTTTCAGTCGGTCATACAAAGGCATTAATATATGTATAGAGAATTAGCAGCAGCTCACTGCTTATGCAAATCAGCTTTGTACTGGCTACAAAACAACTAACCCATAAAGAAAACTAAGATTGACAATGGTAACTAATAATTTGGAAATTGGTCAATGGAAATGGGAAAAGATCAAGGCTCTAAAGTAGTTTGCACCTGCTCATAAAAGAGTCGCGGGATTAAAATCACGAAAAGAAGCTGAGTTAGAAACCATTCTATCTCAACTACAATTGATCACTTAAGAACTTAGCTTTTAAGTAGACTATACTGGCCTATTGGGACATTGGACACAATGACCTGAAAAGAGGCAAATGGCTTAAGGTAAATGCACATTTATAGATCAACAGAAATGTCATGGCCAAAGTATCTCCAAGAATGTTCTAAAACAATATTCAAGACATTAAAGAATTAAGCTAAATAAAATGGCTTCTGAGTTGTCAGTTTTGGCTGGGCCCAGTGGCTATGCCTGTGATCTCAACACTTTGGAAGTTTGAGCCAGGAGAACTGCTTGAGGCCAGGAGTTTGAGAGTTCTCAGTTTTAATACGAATATTTAAAATTGCCATTCTGAAGAGAAAACCTTTAGCCCAGCCTCCAATTATAATGGCCAAGTATAAAATATTTATGTAAGTGGTTGTAACAACATACTTTAGTACTCTAGTCTTGACCAAAACGTACAGTGTATTACATAACACATTGAGATATGTATGCTGTCAGAACAGACTGATGATCAGAAATTGCCTAGTCAACACAACAGTCCGTGATTTTTTAAAAGGAGAAAGGAGCTGGGCCGGGCGCAGTGGTTCCCGCCTATAATCCCAGCACTTTAGGAGGCCGAGGTGGGTGGATCCCCTGAGGTCAGGAGTTTAAGACCAGCCTGACCAACATGGAGAAACCCCGTCTCTACTAAAAATACAAAATTAGCTGGGCGTGGTGGTGCATGCCGGTATCCCAGCTACTCTGGAGGCTGAGGCAGGAGAATTGCTTGTACCTGAGAGGCAGAGGTTGCGGTGAGCCGAGATTGCACCACTGCACTCCAGCCTGAGCAACAAGAGTGAAACTCTGTCTCAAAAAAAAAAAGAGGAGCTAAAAAAAAAGGTGTCTTTCTGATCACCTAAGACTCAGAATTCTAACTGCACTTAATACCATACTTAGTCCATAAGCTCTATTTATTTCATATGTTAGTTTGCATTCTAGAATGACAATATAAGCTACTGGAACCAAGAATCAAGAGTTCCTCTTCTCCATAGCACACAGTAGGTATTCATAAATAACTTCTAATTAACTTTGAAATTGAAAATAATATGGTAATATCTACTTGACCTTCACCAATATATGTATCCTCATTATAGCATTATCTTAAAAAGAAAACAAGTCAGAAATCTAAATGTCCAAGAACATAGGAATGTTTATAGTTCATCAATGACACAATATTATGCAACTATTAAAATGTATGAGAAGACTAACAAGGAAAATTAAATGAGAAATCATAATCCAAAATCCCATGTGTTCCATGATTACGAATTACCTATATGAACAGATAAAGACTAGAAGGAAATAGCAACAAAGATGACACAAATGCCTGTATGATTTAGGCTCACTATGTGCCAGACACTGGCCACACAAGTAGGTAAAATTGTGGCTTATGACTCAACATTCCCACGAATGATGTTAAGGTATCAGTACACATACAGCCTTTGGTACTCTATGGATGACTTTTATTTAAAAAAAAAAAAAACTTGCAGGCACTGATATGTGTCACCTTTGTGCTTTAAATTACGGAACATTCCAAGTCTGAACTTTCTCTAAGGCTTTATAAACAAAGACTGTTTTTTTTTAATAAACAAACTGTTTTATAAATAAACTGGTTTTTTTTATAAATTGTTTATAAAAAAATTTATAAACAAAGACTGTTTTATCAGTCTTTGAAATGGGAAAACAAATAAAACTTGTTTTGGCTTCATAATATATCATTTCAACCTCAAGCTGAATAGTAAAAAGTGAAGGTTTCCATAATATTGTTAACTGACCTGTGTTAAAACCAAAATGGGAAAATAAAATTGCCTAGAACACAAGTGACTGTTCCATATAAGAACTAAACGAATAGGCCAGTTCTAATACTGACCTTTCAGTAGGGCAAAGTAAAGTTCATTTATGAATGTAAAAGGAATGCCTACCTTGAAGCACCATTACCATATACAGAAAGGTAAGAACCCTTCATAACTCAGAAGTGTAAATCACTCAATCTCTCGCACTTAAAAACTCTTAATATCCCCTAGTAGCAGTGGTTCTTAAAGTATGAGCCCCAAAACAATTTCTGAAATCAGCGAGAAGTTGTTACAAATGCAAATTCTTAGACAGCTCCAGACCTACAGAATCAGAAACTCTGGATGTGTGGTCTAACAATGTGTTTCTCAAGCCCTCTACGTCATTTTGATCTACACTAAAAGTTTGAAAGTCACTTCCCTATATATAGGAAAACACCCTTTATGTCATATATTTTTTTCCCCTAATAAAACTATAGGCCGTGCGCAGTGGCTCATGCCTGTAATCCAAGCACTTTGGGAGGCCAAGGCGGGTGGATTACCTAAGGTCAGGAGTTCCATACCAGCCTGGGCAACATGGTGAAACCCCCCTCTCTACTAAAAATACAAAAATTAGCTGGACATGGTGGCAGGCACGTGTAATCCCAGCTACTCGGGAGGCTGATGTGAGAGAATCACCTAAACCCAGGAGTTGGAGGTTGCAGTGAGCCGACATTGCACCACTGCACTCCAGCTTGGGCTTGTTGAGCAAAACTACGTCTCAATAAATAAACAAATAAATCTATAACCTTCTTTTTTCCTAAGGGAAAAACCAGAATATTTATAATTACTGCTTCCATTTGCCTTTCATTTTAGATGACCTTTAGTTACTGGTATGTTTTCCAATATATCCATGTAAAGTGAATATAATATACCTAATATGTATAAATTGATGGAAATCTTTTAGAAATAAGGCCAACACAGTCTCTAGATGAAGTAGGTTCTCTTAATTCACTTTAGCTTTATCATAAAAAATAACTATGCTTAAGAAATAGTGCTTCTTATAAGCAAATACAGTTCAAATATTCTATGTCAAAAATGTTGCTAATACTCAGCTACTTAATGAACTTTATTAATTCAGAAAAAAAATTTGTTTACCTTTTTCAAAACAGCCTGGAAGAGTTGTGACTCTTGTTGAAGATCCTGCGGTATGGTATAAATATTCTTTTTGTGTAATTTTAATTTTATAAAATGTTGAGATGTTTCTCAGTTTCAATTTGATTAACAATCATTTACAGACAATTTGAACTACCCTAAGTTTAGAATTCTTCTCTGTATTTGTGGGTTTTTTCGTGTTTGTGAAAAATGAGGCCAGTAAGAAAAGTTAGAATGCAGAGTGCAAGGTAGACAACAATGTACAAACAAATGGCATGTAGTTTTCGTTTTTGTGGGGTTTTTGTTGTTGTTGTTGTTGTTGTTGTTGTTTGAGATGGAGTCTCGGTCTCTGTCGCCCAGGCTGGATGGAGTGCAGTGGCGCCATCTCGGCTCACTGCAAGCTCCGCCTCCGGGGTTCACGCCATTCTCCTGCCTCAGCCTCCGGAGTAGCTGGGACTACAGGCGCCCGCCACCACGCCGGCTATTTTTTTGTATTTTTAGTAGAGACGGGGTTTCACCGTGTTAGCCAGGATGCTCTCAATCTCCTGACCTCGTGATTCGCCCGCTTCATCCTCCCAAAGTGCTGGGATTACAGGCGTGAGCCACCGCACCTGGTCGTGGGTTTTTTTAAAAAACAAGTGTATTAACTAAGAATTTTGTGGTCCCCTTTGACATTAATGGAAATATCCCCCCGACAGCCAGACCACCACCAATAATTAAGTGGAACCCTCAAAAGCTCGCTTCACTTTTGCTACGAGTCTCATTTTCAGCAGAAATCTAAGTGAGGAATTATTTTCTTTATTACTTAATTGTATCAATAGCACTTGTGTGTTGTGTTTTGTGTTTTTGTTTTTTTAAGTTCAGGAGTACATGTACAGGATGTGCAGGTTTTTTACATTCGTAAACATGTGTCATGGGGGTTTGTTGTACAGATGATTTAATCACCCAGGTATAAACATTAAGCCTAGTATCGATTAGTTATTTTTCTAGATCTTCTCCCTCCTCCCATCCTCCACCCTCCAGTAGACCCCAGTAGCACCTGTGATTTTAAAACTGGTTCGGAGCACCAGAAAGTTTTATTTAACCAACAACCTCAGTTTCTTAAATATTTTCAATCATTTTATTGGAGTACAGATTCAGAATTTTATATTGTGAAATTAAATGTTTAACTTTGGAAAGAACTTTAATGAACAAAAATCAAGCAGTTAGTAATGGAATATAAACAATGGTGTGGAATAGGAAATGCTTTCATAATTTATACTATGAAAAGCATTTATAAAAAAGACCTTCAAATTAGTAACTAATAACTCCTAATTAGTTAATAAACAAATGGCACTTTGTAGAATTTTTTAATAACCAAGTGAAAGCCTCGTATTTTTCATTTCAGTCCCATTATTTTTTAAAAAAGACCAAATTTTAAAAAATTTTAAGATAAAATATCTTGCTGTGCCTATGATACAAAGAAATTATTCACAATGGAGATTTTAAAGTGCTTATTTCCTTTATTGTTTAGTATGTTCTTCTGTGTACTTTAAGTGAAGAAAAACTGTATTGACTGTTTTTTTGTTTGTTTGTTTGTTTTTTGAGACAGTCTCACTCCATCACCCAGGCTGGAGTTCAGTGGCGCGATCTCAGCTCACTGCCACCTCTGCCACGGAGTTCAAGCCATCCTCCTGCCTCAGCCTCCCGAGTAGCTGGGATTACAAGTGCCTGCCACCACGCCTAATTTTTGTATTTTTAGTAAAGACGGGATTTCACCATCTTGGCCAAGCTGGTCTTGCACTCTTGACCTCGGGATCCACCCGCCTAGGCCCCCAAAGTGCTGGTATTACAGGCGTGAGCCCTCCCGGCCCACTTTTAGGAATATACAAGATATGGCCAGGCATAGTGGCTGACGCCTGTAATCCCAGCACATTGGGAGGCCGAGGCAGGCAGATCACTTGAGGTCAGGAGTTCGAGCCCAGCCTGGCCAACATGACAAAACCCCTTCTCTACTAAAAATACAAAAATTAGCTGGGCATGGTGGTGCATTCCTGTAATCCCAGTCACTGGGGAGGCTGAGGCAGGAGAATTGCTTGAACCTGGGAGGCGGAGGTTGCAGTGAGCCAAGATCATGCCACTACACCGTAGCCTGGGCAACAGACAAGACTTCATCTCAAAAACAAACAGAAAAGAATATATGAGATACTTCTTAGATCACAACCTATCTTCATTTATTTTAATTAGCCTTATAAATACTAGTGTATTCTTTTCATTTTTCAACAGGGATGTGTATGGGGTGTTGCTTACAGATTGCCAGTAGGAAAGGAAGAAGAAGTAAAAGCATACCTTGACTTCAGAGAGAAAGGAGGCTACAGAACCACAACAGTCATTTTTTATCCAAAAGATCCCACAACAAAACCATTCAGTGTATTGCTATATATTGGAACATGTGATAATCCTGATTATCTTGGTCCTGCACCTCTGGAAGACATTGCTGAACAAATTTTTAATGCAGCTGGTCCAAGTGGAAGAAATACAGAATATCTTTTTGAACTTGCAAATTCTATTAGGAACCTTGTGCCAGAAGAAGCAGATGAGCATCTTTTCGCTTTGGAAAAATTGGTAAAGGAACGTTTAGAAGGGAAACAGAACCTCAATTGCATATAAAGAACTAATCATTGACTTTTCTAAACAAGCAGAGCTTTTAGTCTTCGGAGAATTATCTTCAGTGCACGATGGCAATATGAATTGGAAATATGTTTACTTAAAGATCTTATTTTTAATGTAGTCAGGATATTATCTAAACTTGTATTTTAACTGGAAATGTCCTAAAACACATATATTCAAAAGAATGGGATACAGTGAAAGAAAAATTCAAATTTTAATAACATAAAGATTTCCTAACTTTACGCTATTGAACACTTACTCATTAGAAGTGAGTTATTTAGAAAAATACAGTGAAGGACTCAGTTCAGTCTTGTTTTTATCAGAGTAACAATAATCCTGTTTCATATCCCAATACTATGTTGAAGTTCTAAAGAATTAAACCAAAAGTCCAATAAATATAAAGTTATGCCTTCAATATATTCATATACAATTCTGTAACCATGGTTTAAAATATACAAGCTTAAAATAACGTGACTAGAAATACACAATAATATGAACAGTATTTCAGCCTTAATTGTGAATTTCCTTGTTATTCAGGTATTAAATGAAACCCTTTCAGTTTTAAGCCAAAAATTGGCTTTTTTTAAATATAAAAATTTCCTTGGAAGTATAATGTACTGTACCTCTTCTTTTTTAAAGGCATTTTACTATATGGAAGGTAAAAAGCATAAATTACATTATACAAATCGTGATCACTAATCATGTGGTCTGTCACTCACTTTGTATTAATCTTATACCAAAACTGAAAAAGATGGGCTTTCTGATAATACAAATTAATGGCATATATAATGAAAATTTAGTTTTTAAAACAGCTTTTGGAATTCTTTCTCTCTCTCTCTCTCTCTGTGTCACTCTCTCAATATGTGTGTGTGTGTGTGTATTTTTTTTTTTCTTTGCAGCCTGCAGTCTGGCCATCCCACAGGCTGGACAGTGTAACCTCTGGCAGAAGCCAAGAACAGGCACCTCCTGGAATTATAATTTTGTTTTGTTTTTTGAGACCAAGTATCGCTCTGATGCCTAGGCTGGAGTGCAGTGGTGCCAATCTCGGCTCACTGCAGCCTCCACCTCCCAGGTTCAAGGGATTCTCCTGCCTCAGCCTCCCGGGTAGCTGGGATTACACGCACGTGCCACCACACCCAACTAATTATATTTTTAGTAGAGACAGGGTTTCACTATGTTGGCCAAGCTGGTCTCGAACTTCTAACCTCAGGTGATCTACCCACCTCAACCTCCCAAAGTGCTAGGATTACAGGTGTGAGCCACCATGCCCAGCCTATAATTTTTTATTTGTATAAATTTATGGCCTACAAGTGCCATTTTGTTACATGCATAGATTGTATTTTTTTAAGAAGTGGCATTACCTGATTATTTGTACGTAACTTTTTTTTTCTTTATCTTGTCACCTAAAGAAGAGTATCAATTGGGTGTATGCTGCTACTCAACTAGGAAACAAATTATTAACTCACATAGAATTGACTTTGATTCAAACTATTCAGGTTATTCCTGATTATAGGTTATTTCTTTCTCAATAGGACATATAATCGCTCTAGAATCTTTCACCATAAAAACTTCAGTATAAAACTAAATGTAATATGATACTTACTAAAAGCTCCTTAAACCCAGTCATGATTAATAATTAGTACAGAAGTTTTTCACATAAAACTGTCCTACATGTCCTTTTCATGTTTTCCTGTTTAATATCTTAGTAATTTACTCAGCTACATAACTACTTTAAATATCTTCCAACATTTTAAATATTAGTTTTCCAGAAGGCATTTCACTTGTCCTGTAAAACAGAAAGGGTGATAAATTTATTAATGAACATCTCATAAGGATGTGCTAGGCACTTTACATACGGAGCCATATGTCCTCATTTTTTGGATAATTCCTCTAGCTTGTTTCCACTGTAACTTGCACTCAGTTATGCATCTAACATGGCTAAAATCCAGGTTGCTCTGACTTTGGAGCACAGGATTCTTCTATGACATGTTTTTAAAAACCCATATGAACTTAACTTTTCTTACTACCCTGCTTGTTTTTTCAGAAAGTGAACAAAATTAATGATTAAACCAGATTAATGATTAATTTCATGTGTATAATGAAATAGTAACTGGTTACATAAAGATGTTTGAGTTAATTTTGACAGATGTGTATATATTGCCACAAATATAATGAGCCTATCTAAGATTGACATGCTCAGAATCACGTTAGTCAACGCAGAGATCTAGTTTTTCATTTTACAAAGTCCAAAGAAGTATGTGACTCCCTAAAGTCAATACCACTTAATAACTAGCTTACAAAATATCAAGAGGGAGGGATTACTTTGGGATCCCCATTTATACATCTTTCTAGGTTTTCCATTAGAAGTTAAACTAGAAGATTTGTGAATATACATGTGGTATACCATCATCACTTACAGGGAGATTGTGTTCTAACCGCCCAGGGAAGGGATATTCATTTTCATTAGGATGGGGAGAAACCTGACTGAAATGGAGAAGTTAAATTCCATTATCAGAAGCTGGGGTTTGCAGCCTCCAAGCTAGGAAGAAACAGAACTCTGGTGCCAAATTACTTATGTATTTTCGTTTTCTTAGCAAAGCTCTAGTCTCTCTTTACAGCCCTTGGATCTCACTTTCAAAACATTTTCTCTCCTCCTGCCCTAATTACATGTAACACAAAACTCAGATTCTCACTCCTCAGAGTAGAAATATTAGGGAGGTGTTCAGTTTTGGAAATTCAAGAGAAGTGTGTGAACCCTACATTTAGAAAAGAAACTAAAATTTCCTTTTAAATCTCAACTTTTTAAATTTTTAGAAGTTGGTCTTTGTACTCCTATACTATTATAATACTTTTCCTCACTCCCAAACAATACATTCACAAGAACTGTAAGCATCTAGATGCCACTATCTCCATATGTAAAGTTATCATTTAGGGAAACAAAGATTATGATGATGTCAACTCTGAATATTTAAAAGCATGAACATGACTCATTTCATTATGACTGACTTTAAAAGTTTGACCATTGTCTATTAATATGTATTCATCTTAAATGGCAAAATTTTTAATTTTCTAATCAAGTACCTGAAATGTATATTATTATACATCTTTAAAGTGCCTATTTACTTATATGTAAAACATTACACAATGACTGATATACTTAATAAATATTATTTCAAATATATAACATATTCACATATTCAGAGTATCACATATTCAGAGTATCATGGGTTCAGTATCTCTTCAAGACTCCTAATGATTACAATCATGCCAGAACCATATTTGGTCTATTAGATATTTTTCAAACATTTTCCAGTCAACATTTCATTATATTAGATTTCTCTTTTCCATAGACACATCTTGTTTTTAAATTACAAATTCAGAGAATACTCTCTCAATGAGTAAGTACATATCCTTACATCCTGGGTAGTTGTGAATATCAATGTAAGCATCATATTTGTAATTTACCATCTCTGGTTCTTTCTTTCCAGGCAATTAGATGATAAATGTGCTTTAAAATTCTCTTTCATCATATCACGTTAAAACTTACCTATCAAATGTTCCTGTTATGCCTGTCTTTTTTCAGGAAAAATACTGACTGCATTCTCTAGTAATTTATTCAGCTTTTAGCAATCTATTTTTATGGATTTCTAAAACCTTGAATTTGGCCAGTGTAGTGGCTCACACCTGTAATCATAGTACTTTGGGATGCTGTGAAGGGAGGATCACTTCAGGCTAGGAACTAGAGACCAGCCAGAGCAATGGAACAGCACCCTGTCTCTATAAAAAATTTAAAAATTAGCCGGGTGTAGTGGCATGCACCTGTAGGCCCAGCTACTCAAAAGGCTGAGGCAGGAGTATTGCCTGAACCCAGGAGTTCGAGGCTGCAGTGAGCCATGATCACACCACTGCAGTCCAGGCTGGGCAACAGAGCAAGATCCTGTCTCAAAAAACTAAAATAAAACCTTGAATTCACTCTAAGCATATATTACAGACTCAAAGATTTTGTAATCCTGTGGCTACTATGTCAAAGAATTTTAACTCTTACTAAGACAACTACAGTACTAAAATTTTTATTCTGTATGTCAAATTTATACGATGAAAATTAGCTTTATTGGATTTCAGGGGTTTTTTCAGTTCATTTTACCTTTCTAAAATAGTATATTTCAATTTCATTTTCTTGTTTTACTTAATTGTACTGAGCCTCCTTCTCTTTATAAATGGTTCACCCACACATGTACACACACTGTAACTGGAAAAACCACCACTAATCCTACAGTTTCTTGTGTTCTTCCAGCTTTCTTATTCTTCACAGAAATTTTTTAACTACACAGTGCTTCACTTCCTTATCAACTCATCTTAATGCCTTTCCAATTCAACTTTATTCTGCCAAACCACTCAATCATTGTAGTATCAAGTCTCCAATGACCAGTTCCTCACTGAACCCAAAGATTTCAATTTTCATGCTACTCTGGTGCATCAGACACTAGTGATCAAGCATCCCATGTCACTAAAGCCAAAGACAAAAACATTTCATTGTGCTTCCAATTACAACTCATACACTATTCTTCATCAGATACACAAACTCATCAAATCTTAGGCTTTAATTTTACTTGGACAGCTTCCAATCTCCAGCCTACTCTTTCAACCTCTTCATATGTCTGTTACATGAAGGCATCTCCAGTTGTGCTACACAAGCATGGAAACTTACTGTACTAAAGCCAGTACTCATCTCCTTTCCCAACTAGAAAATTTAGTCCCACATTACCTCCCTGCACATAATACACATTAAATGTTGAACATACTTAGTACAGGAAAAAAACAAACAGGTTTATGATACTCGCATCAATTTATATGCTTTTGGAGAAAATAGATGGTATTTTCACAATATATACAAAATGTGTTTGTGCCTTTTTAATATTAAATTTTACCCTTTGTTTTGCTAAAAACAATATATATAATATTTTTTTTAAAGTATAAGCAATCTTGGCTGGGTGTGGTGG